ATGTCTGCAATGCTCCAGTGTGCTTCCAACTGCTCTCATTTGCAACCTTGCTTGTGTCAAAGATAAAAAAACCAACTATATAATGGTATTGCTTTAGCTCCACTGGAGTCAACCACAGAACAGAAACTAGACATAAACCTAAGGGTCATCTAAAACTGGCAAACAGAATGGGGTACAAAACTGAATTCTAGAGCTCCAGGCTTTTTCTCCATTAAGATAGGGACTGGAAAGTAAATTGGTAGTTCTAACAAAAGCTCTAGATTGGTAAATCTTATTTTTTCTTTTTTAATCTGATTAGAAATATAAGATTTACTTTGTTATTTAGATTATTAAAAAAAAAAAGAGAGTTATGCCTCTGGAGTGGAAGAAATACATCTGGCCTCTAGCAGAAGATTAATAATAAACCCTACTTTACCATTCCTCCCTCAAACCTAAAGCAATTTTTCCATTGCAATGGACTGGTTTTCATTAAAGCAAATTCAGTCATAACAAGAAGACAGGTACATAGAGGTTCAGATCGCACTTATTTTGCACAAAACAAACAAACAAACAAACCACCCCCCCCCCCAAAAAAAAAAAAAAAGAAAATAAAAGAAAACCTCAATTGAATTGTATGATTTTTAGGAAATGAAATTATATGTGTTATCAAAGAAGTGCCATTTGGTAGCCTATAGCACCAATCTATATAACACTATGATGCTTATTGAAAAACCATTACCTGAGATCTGTTTTTACTACCCTCTCAGTTAATAACTTGTTTGCAACCATAAGAATCATTTTTATCTGCACATTGATTTAGCATAATTCTTATGACTTTAAGATTTGGATTCAACATCTAAATCTGCAGACTACTAGTAATTCAGCAATTAGCTTTAAGCTATTGTTTAAATCATATTTAATGAAAATAGTGATAAATTTAACTAAGAGTCTCTTGAGAGATCTGACTCAGAGTCAATAAAAAGCCAATGTTATTTCTGATGCCAAGAGCAGATGATTTTCTCTTGTGAGATTTGGGGTTTTTTTCTGATTTAGAGAAGTTGGTGTGAAAGCATCTCTTACAGATTGCACCTAGTTGCTGTTTTGTAAAGGCAGCTAAAAGTTTCTATTGCTTGTGATAACAAACGCTGAATTTTGTATTTCTGTAAACAAAAAAACCACAACACAACCTTATGTAATGTTTGTTTCCAAATGGCAGTTATATAAGGTTTTTTATAATCATGAATATTGGTGTGGAAAAATATTTTTGTTTTGTGACTAATTAAGTGACACCAAGCTGTCTGTCTGTCTCTGCTACAAATTCATTAATGAGGTTTTGCAAGCTATGGTGCATATTGGTGTTTTTAAAAATAATAAAAGTATTGTTAGTTGTCTGTGAGTCTGATCAATGTGTGACTGTGTTAGCTGGCATGTTTGTTCACATGAGAGCAAAGTGGCTTTGAACAGACTACATTTTACTTTTGAGCTACAGGACAAGTCCATAAAGTACCCAAGTCCTCCGTGGTGGTGATTTACTCTCAATGTAGCAGTTTAAACTGATAAGAAATGATCCTTTGTGAAGTCCTTTGCAATTTGTTTAACTCTTTGCATGGATTATGTACATGCATCCAGTTTATTTGTTGTAGGAAACTTTTACTAGCAAGGGAGCTGGATTTCCTTGGTGTAACTTCATATACTTGAACAGCTGAATGTTTCCTGAGCTTCAAAATTACCCATGCAAATAAAACAGACCAGGAAGATGAACATTTTATGAAGGTTCAAGTAACTCCTTCTTCAATGTTTTTGTCAATTTCACAAAGATGTTCCTACCTGTAAGATTCTGAAGTATTTCAATCTGAAGTACACCCCTCTATCACTATGCTTTACTTTAGTCCTCTTGACTGTCAGTATAATCATCAACAATCAAATAATTTAGGAGGATTTGTATTCAGTTCTGGTATCTTTTGTGAAGAAGCTTATAGGTTGGACATGTTTTGATGGTGAGGTGTTGTTTAGATTCAGGCTTTTTGTAATTAAGGAGCTTCTGAAATTGGGAAACCTTGAAATTTAATTCTATGGACACAAAATTGGAGGCCGTATGACAGCTGCAATGGAAGTTCTCTTATTCTATGACTTCATGAAATGAGGAAATTCTTAAAACTTTTTAAAACTTTCATCTTGGCTCTGCAGTAGTGGAAAATGAGAAAATTCAATTTGAAAAACGAAAATGCAGGAATAAAATTCTCTTATAGCAGATTTCCATTACCTTTGTCCAAGTAATTCCACATGTAATAAAGAAACCTTAAATTGCCTATGAAGAAAAGGTGAAACTTTTTGTACTATCTCTAACAGAAAAAAATATTTCATAATAGCATTCTTTTAAATGCGTTAAGAAAATTGTATAGCTCCAGTTAACCTTATAGATATGTAATAGACATGATTTAGGTGCATCTGATGAGGCTAAAGAGAAAAAGCCAAAAAAGAGGGTGCAGCCTGGATAAGTCAATAGACATTGTGTTGGGAATACTGTGAAAGGTTCTTGGCCATCTCTTCTCTCAGTACCTGATGTCCATCTCTTTCAGGACTGCTGATCTTGGTCACCATGGGGCAGCTGCCCAGCCTGGACCATGGAACTAGCCTAGGCTTTAAAATTATCCTTTTAACACTCCATTCTTTCTTTCCTGGCTTTTCTTTGGAGGACCATGAGGAGGAATGATGGACTGCTCAGGGTGGCACAACAAAGAAAATTGTAAAATGAAGCTCTCAGGTAAACTGTGTCTCTAACAGGAATAATCTGTCTTGCATCTCAATTTAAGTTGCTACAGAAATGTGGTTTCTTTCAAACAGCACAAGTAATCTCAGTCTATGGATAAACACAGTTCATATACCAGGTTAAGACAAGGCTCTTATCTGTTTTGGGTTTGTTTTTTTTTTTTTTTTCAACAGTCTTGTAGTTGAAATGAGAGTTTTCCATTCTATTTAATCTAGAAAAATGAAGGCGTTCACATGAGTTTAATTTTTCCCATTCTGTACACTGAGAGAACACCGAAAATAAACTGTATCCAGGCTTTTGTATATGTTACACCAAAGTAAAATGTTCTGCCAGTGCTGCAACTCTGTATCCAGCAGCTGGCTGTGCCCACTCCCGAGGCAGTGACCTTGAGCTGTGGATGGACTGAACGCCTCGGGCTGCGCTGTGCTGTGTGAGTGTGTCACTGTGAAAAGGGGGCCCAGTGATTCTAATTCGGTACTGAGGTATGTAAACACCATTATTTCTCTGTTTATCTGCTCTGTGGTGCAGCCTCAGTCTGGCAGCTGGAACTAAGGGTGGTTTCCTAGCTATTTTCAGGCTGTCCACCTGAAAGGACAGGCTGGGACCATGGGCTGCTCTCTCACCTTCTGCATCTTCAGGAGCTGCCTTCCTCTTCCACAGGCCGTGCCTTCAGCTGATGGAAGCACTGGTCTGTTTCTGTCCAAATCCACTCCTTGTGGGATGAGGGGACATTGTAAAATTCCTAGTGAGGGCAATCCTCCCCATCCCCCTAAGTGCAGACTTAAAATGAGGGAAAGAGCTTGGAGGCATTAATTTGTAATGGCTGTGACAAAACAACTGTTTGAATTAATTGTTCTCTTGCCTCGAAAGTTTAACCGTTTCATTTACCCCAGGCAGTAAAACAGGAGAGTGAAAGGAACACCTCAGGTCTCTGCTAAAGTCATGTTATTGTGCCTCTGGTAATACCCAGCTGGACAGGGTTGCTATTTCCCAAGGAGTTTCTGCTGACTTGTTTTCAGCTCCCACAGATGTTCAACAGAGGAAATTTCCCCATTTTTCCTTTCAATGCTTGAATGTGCCGGTGTGTTTAAAAGAAAAGTAAATTACTGTATCATATGCTTGCTACATGTGTTTCAGAAACGCTTCTCAGTTGCCGTTTCGCCGACACAAGTTGTAGGCACTGGAGAAATTAAAAGTGTCCTAGAAGTAGACACTTGATAGTCCCATATTTGCTTAGAGGAGAAAGGAAAGACAGGATATAAGCGTTCGAAACACCAGGGAAGATCATGCTCCTTCTAACCAACACATTTTCCTGTAGCTGAGGATGAAGTGAAATTTTAACTTTGGAACGCACACATGAGTATCCAGGACATGAAACAAATAATAAATCACCCCTTTCGTTGCAGGGAGATGATAACAAGAATTTCTTTTCCAAGAAAGCATGCCGCAGCTGGATCAATTTGTTTGTGAAGTGTATGGATTGTTTCTTATGGTGTGAACTTTGTATAAACAGGGGGAAATGGCTTCACTTTATATCATATTGATGTTTTTGAAGCATCTCTCTCATCGGAGGATTTGAAAGCATCTCTTTCAACGCTTCCTGCCTCCGAGGCGAGCTGCTAGATTTATCTTTATTCTGTCATAGATGTTTTGTGCTGCCTGTTGCGAGCAAGCTGCGTCCTGCAGACGGCGGAGAGCTCGGAGCGGCACCGTGCCCGGGGCGGGCTGGGGGCGCCGGAGCCTCCCGTGGGACCGCGCTCCGGAGGCGAACAAAGGGGCCGCCAAACCCACCGCCAACAGGTGCTGCGCAGGAAACAAACTTTTTCTGGGATACTACACAGAGTCACCAAAGGGGAGCGATCCCTCGGCCGCCCCGGGGAAGAGGCAAACACCAAAAATTCCCCAGGTCCGCAGAGGGTCGGAGAGGAGCCGGACAAACGGCGGGAGCCGGCAGAGCGCGGCGTGCTGCGGGCACGGCGGGGAGCGCGGCCGCGCACCAGCGGCTCCCCCGGCGCCGCCCGGCCGGGCCGCCCCACCCCACCTGCGGCCGGCCCTGCCCGCGACCCGCCCCGGGCCCGGTGCGCGGGGGGGGAGCCCGGGGGGCGCCCGTTTAACCCCTTAGCGGCCGGCGGCTCCGGAAGCGGCGGCGGCGGCCCCGTGGGGCGCTGTGTCCTGCGCCCGGGCGGGGAGGGGTGGCGGCGCGGGGTGGGGGCGAGCGCGGCGCGGGGGGGCGGCGGCGGGAGCCGCTCCCTCCTTGCCCAGCCCGGCCCGGCAGAGGCGGCAGGAGGAGGAGGAGGAGGGCGGCGCAGAGCGCAGACATGGCGGCCAACATGTACCGAGTGGGAGGTATGTGGGGACGCGGCGGCGCCCGCCCGGAGCCTCCCGCGGGCAGGGCCGGGGGTCCCGCCGGGCCGCGGGCAGTGCGCGCCGCGCCGGGGCCAAGAGCGGCGCCCCGGCCTCAGGCTGGCGCGGCCCCGAGCGGGGCGGCCGGGCCCGGGCGGGCGGCGAGAGGAGGCGGCCGGTCCGGCGAAGGGTCGCCGGGCCCTCGGCGACGCGGAGGACGGAGGTTCCTCCCCCGCCAGCCCCGTGCGCCGGGTGGGAGCCCGGCCCCCGCCGCCGAGCACGAGAAGGGCAGCGCCGCCCTCCGCGGGGAAGGGAAGGGAAGGGGGGAGCGGCGCCGCCGGCTTCCAGCCCCCGCTCCGCGGCGCGGGCCGGGCACGGCCGCCCCTGCGCCTCGCCTCCTTCCCCGGGGAGCGGCGGAGGGGCCCGCGGGGCCAGCGAGGGGCCGGGTGCCCGGCCGAGCGCCCCCGGGCCGGGCCGGCCCCAGCGCGGCCTGGCGGGCCCTGCCGGCGCCGCGCGGGGCCGTGCGGGGCGGGCAGCCCCAGACCGGCCCGGGGAGCGCTTCCCTCCGCGCCGCTCCCTGCCCCGCGCCCGCCTCCCGCTCACGGCGGAGTTTCTCCGCGCCCTCCTTGGTCTGCCGGGGATAAATAATTAAGCCGGCAGTGTAACCGCGGGATTTCTGTCAGCTTCCCTTGCTCGCCGCCGTAACCCCTGAGGAGCGCCCTGATACGTGACTGCTTGGCGAAGGGCGGGGGGGAGAAGGCGTTCAGGCGGTGAAAAACACGGCAAGCGTTTGTCTTCCCACCCCGAGCCTGGCGCAAATGACACGGATAACTTTGGCTCGCTCACGGAGGGAACGAACGTGGCAGTGTGCCCGGTGCTGTGGCTCAGGTGCACCGCTCAAGTTAGGTGTGCAGTACTGGGTGCTCACAAATCACTCCATCCTCCTGCTCTCAAAGCCAGAACTGAGAGGGAGGGTTCAAGGAAATGAGGGGTGATAATGTCACCCTTCATTTCCACGCATCCTTTTCTGCTAATGTTTTTAGATATGCTGATAGAGCCACAAATCTTCCCTCATTAAGGCACTTAGATTGTAGTCCCATCAGCTTTTACTCATGAAAGTAATCCTTCTCTGAGCAGGTAGCGGGTAGGTTTTACCTCTTAGGTCACCAATTCTCTTTTGTTTCGTTGTAATCTTAATGAGCAATTGTGAACACTATCCAGAGATCGTATTCTTTCATTAGAACTTCCTGAAGTTCCTTTTCATTTTATTGTAATGTCAAAGTGTTGCAAAAGGCTTTTATACATTGTTACAGTTTTTCATCCGATTTTGAAAAATAAAGTTTGCAAGGTGCACAGTGCAGAAGTCCAACATAAAATTTAAAGTGTGGTTGACGTTTGATGGGTACTTTTTCATTGGACAAAAACAAGTTTTCAAAAAACTATTGAAGGAAATGCGCTGCTTGTCAATTCTTTGTATGTTGCATGGGAGTAGCTTTCAGGACATGAGTAAATTTCCATTCAATCTATGAAAATATTTTTATATTAATGATGCTGAAAGAGACATTGTCCTGCAAGATCCTTGCTAATTTCATGGCAATTTCTGTTTAATATAGTTTGCATCTTACTGGGCAGAGATAACAACAAGAGCAAGTATCGTAAAACTACATTACTCATTGGGACATTGGTCATTGCCCCAGCACCTGATAATAAAAATGACGTGTCATCTTTTACAGAAATGTTAATCTCCATAATATAGAAACTCACTAAAGTGCTCAGGTCTTAAATCTTCCTCATTTATTGTGAGAAGTTGCTCCTTCCCTATCAAGATTTATGAAGTGTGTGGATTACTGGCTTACAGTGTGAGCTTCAACACAAACCATTTAACTTTTTTTCCAGCATGGTTGTTGAAGCAGGTGTAGTGCAGTTAAAACTAGAATTTAGGAACAAATTATATTAAATCTCAGTGTAGAAATACATCATGGTCCCAACGTTTATGAAGAAATCTCAGCCCTTTGAAAACTTCTAGGTTTAGAAGAAAAGTTTTGTACTAATAATGATAGGCCTTTACAGAACTTTTGGTATTTCAGTTACTTTTCTTTTTTTCCTTGCAGATTATGTTTATTTTGAAAATTCTTCCAGCAATCCATATCTCATTAGGAGAATTGAAGAACTTAACAAGGTACAAATATCTAAGATTCTTTCTTAACCTTTGGCAACAGTGCTTGTTAAAACCTGAGAATTATTTCTATCCCTTAAGATTTTTACTGTAGTGGGGGTTTCTGGTGGTTACTGAAAACTTCCTGTGTGATATCCTCTAATTCTGCCCTGTTACCTAAGGAAACACCCAATTCCTGGTGAGCAGGATAACCCTGCTGCAAAAATTTTCTAACAAATTCTATGAATTCTTGGAGAAATGAATGAATTTAATTCTCTGGCTGACAGTGACACTGTGAATCCATCTGGAATGACAGCCATCATGTAATGTGTCTGCTTTTAGATAGACATCTGAAGAGCTGGAAGTTGCCAGCGAGACTTTGCAGTGATCAAATGACAGAATATGTGACTTCTGTGGCTGTCTATTGCTCTGCCTATTGGCAGCTGTGAATGAAGAATGGGCTTTTGAATAAAGTGCAGACTCTGTTCTCTGTCTCTACCCTGAGTGTATTTTTCTAAAAAATGGAGGCTCTATTGACTGTCATTTTGGGGAAGGCATGATGATTTTTCTTCACTCTGACACTACTATAATAATGTGGTGTTTCTATGGGATTTTTTATTATTTTTAATATTTTTGTACTTTTTTTTTACTTTTCCCTCAAGCAGTATTAAAGCTTACTGATGTGCTACATCAAAAGTTAATTGTTAAAATGCCCATCATGATGTAAGTAATGATCAAGGTATTTTTTCCCCAGTGGTTAGAAAGTAAATTTAAAAAATGGTGACCTGCAAGTGGTTTTCTTCTTATTAATGAAACACATTAAATGTTAGTGCTGTCCAACACAACATCCACTGAACTTGTGCATGGCAAATAATTTTTGACTTTTATTGGAGAAGAAAATTTTTTATTCACGGTAATTGACATGATTCCAATCATGAATTGAATGTAATGTTTATTATCTTTAAACTGCACTGCTATAATTTAATCTTACTCATGCAGGGTAAAACAGAGTCATGTATTGATTTTTTTTTTTTCTTAAAGAGAGGTTGGAGGTTGTAGTCCAGACATCTTGAATGTGAATGGTTTGCTTTTGTGTATATCGAGCAAATGTGGAGATGTTACTTAAATATGTAATGAAATGCTTTGACTATTGTTCTACCAGGGACAATATTTTTTTTGTAAGAAACTTTATCAAAACATTATACTTTTTAGTATTAAACAAGTAACTCGAGGTAAAAAAAAGGAGGAGTATGCAGTTTTTCAAATATTAGTAAATTCTTTATAGAAGATCATGGTCCCCATAATAAGTCATGAAAACAACACCAAACTAAATAGATCTTTTATTTTGGGATCCGTTGTGACTTTTTCAAATAAACTTTTCAGAAGTCTTTGAAAAAGATTTTTCCAATAAATGCTATATTAAATGAGATTCTGAAAAAATGCTAGAGTACTTTGCAATATACATTTCTGTCTAAAGCTGGATTGTAAAGAAACGTTCACAAGATTCCAACATTTCTGAAGGAATCTTACATTAGCATGATACTGTCATTGCAACTCTGAACACCTGAACAAAATATAAATTCTGAGGACTCAATAATTGTAGTTGATCCTCTTGTCTGGTCTGAAATTGATACTGGCCTCTCTCAAGAAGATTTTATTTATTGGAGTAATTCTGTTGATTTCAGCTTGACTGATCATGTGAGAACTACTGACCTGAGGGAGCACTCCAAGCAGAGAGCAGAGTTTAATTCGTGTTACTCAGCTGAGGAGGGATACATCCTGACTTGATTTTCTCTTCCTTTTGTAGACTGCCAATGGGAACGTGGAAGCCAAAGTGGTGTGTTTTTACAGGCGAAGAGATATTTCTAACAGCCTTATAATGCTTGCAGATAAGCATGCTAGTAAGTAGATGGGATAGGGCATTTCTCCTTACTAACACAGCCTGCTAAATTGCTGCAGCTGCTTAAAATTGTGGGGTTTCTTGGCATGTGAAATATATATTTATGTTAAGCATTTATTAATATCCAGTTAGTTGCTTAGTATTGTCTGATAATCTCCTGCTCCTGCTAGTTGCTTCTGGGAATTAAGTTAAGCTGTATCCATGTGATTGAGACTGTGCATCTGGAAAAAAAAAAAAGAATGTATCTTTTCATCTGGAAGATACAGCTGCATTTCTTTTTTTTTTTTTAATGTCAAAAGTAATTCTTGGTTGTAAGTCAATTTAAGCTTAAGAGCATAAGAGCACTTGTGATTATTTGATGTGACTTTTTTGAGTTCAACATAAACATGTATTGCTTAATGTAAAGAATGAAATGTATCATTGGGGACTGAAAATCACTGGAGATTGCAAAAGAGCTGTTATGTGCATTTATGTTAGTCAAAAAATAGTGGGGGGGTTGGGACTTTTTTCAATTTTTTTCCTTTTCTCAGAAAAACAACAAATGGTAATAGGTGAAAAAAGTTGCATTTTTCAACGTGAACCTAAACTTTTTTTGGTATCTGACATTTGGTATACAAGTGAAATATCATAATGTTCCATAATTTTTGGATGAGAAATATAATGCTGAAGAGCAAAAATGCAATTCTGAAAATATAATTCAGAGCCTAAAAATCCGAGATGAAGACAGTAATTTGCAAAATGCTCCAGTCATATTTGTAAATAACTGAAATGTGAAGTGTGTCAACATCTCTTAAATTTCTTGCCATATGCTATTAAATACCATTTTGATTGTATTTGATGCTTGAGTTTTCAAAATGAATCTGTGAATAAGTTATGTAGGGGTAATAAATCTCTATTTTATAAAAAGTTGGCATTATCTAATGTCTTTCAAGAGATTCTCTTGAAAGACATTAGATAATGCCAACTTTTTAATGCAGATATATGATGGTGTAATTAGGTGCTTTAAAAATACCCTGCAATTTGTTTAATGTCCAGCTCTGGTAATTTTGCTCATCCAGGTATGGTGAGTGAAGAGAAACAGCCAACCTTTGGCTTTTGTTTTACTCTTTTATTGGTCTTAGAGAGGTGGGGGTGATTTGAATACATAGTATGAAGTACTAGCTTGGTGTCTATAGGAAAACAATAAATCTTGCTTATGTGCTAAGAAAATGATTTAATGTTTTGTTACATAGTTGGGTATACTCTATAGTTATTTGTGACCTATTTATGATCATGATCATCAGCCCCCACAATCATTAATCTTTTGAGTTTTTCCAGATTAAATGTATTGAAACATAGAACTTTAGGTGAAAGTACACTAAACTTTCTAACACTTTTTTTGTTTTTCTTTTCTAATGGAGAGGGCAAAAAAGTAATAAAGTGATAACAATTTTACTGGAAATACTTTTTTTTTTAAAATATTGATTTTTAAAACATGGAGCGTGTAAATTTTTTTTAGTTGGCTTGTTTTTTAGAAAAGAGTATGTTAGTCCTGTGGGTATCATTCAGTCTGGAAAAGTGAGTAAGGTTTTTCTATTTCCTTTGTGAGTTTTAGATTTCCATTTTGTCAGCATTTTGATAGAAGGGATTTGTTGATGGTCTGTTGCTTTTCTCGTGTAGCATACTAGGGATTTGTTGGTGTCACTAGGAGTGCCATGGAGTCTTCCATCTTTTTTTTGTCTATTGGGATTCTCTTGGGGTTCTGTAGTGAGGAAACAAATGTGATTTCCAGCTGGTTCAACAATCATCTTTAGAATGCCTGTGTCTCACAGGTTATGAGCCTTCTAACCCAGTGCTTTCAGGAATTATGTTTCTCTATGAACATTTTCTCTGGACACAATGTCTCTGTTTGTTCTGACCCATCTGTGGAATTTGTAGTGCCAAACAAACATCTCTTAGGAGATGTTTGTTACAGTCACAGGGGACAGCACATAGTGAAGGATTGCTTGCCTAGAGCTTCCTATAGCTTATAGAGCAGATATAGTTAAATGTCAATTCAATTTAAAGGCTTTCATTCTAGGATAACACAATGTTCTGTTTAAAAATATGGTGTGTCTAAACAAAATATTTGTATATTTATGAATTGTATGTTTTGGAAATGTTTTATATCGCTAAACATGTTGACACATCAACACTTCTACCTGGTTTGGTATAAAATAAATGTTCAAAGATACAAGTTTCTTAAGGAATAGAAACTCCAGTTCAGTCACTGATTTATTCTCTGTGCCTGTTTGGAGAACTCTTTTAAGTATAAGATCTGCTTGGTCTTTTCCAATAATATTTTGTATTGCTAGCATTTTTTTTTTCTTTATGATTGAGAAAACTGGTCTGAGTTATTAATTTCTCAAGATTTGGGCAGTTGGTTGGGGTTTTTTAAGATGTCAGTTTCTGAAGGTTACATTTTGAGATGTAGATATGGTCCCATTTACTATAAGAAGAAAAGAGCTCTGTAAGAAAATATTTTGGAACTTTAAAAAGAAAATTTCAGCAACTTGAAAACATTTCAGAATTATTCTAAAGAATGTTTGGGAAACATGAAATAAAGTCGATCTGTGCCTTTATCACTGGTAAGGAGTTGGTATATTGTTTTCCTAGGTTGTGTTTTGTTGTTGCTGTTTGGTTTTTGTTTGTTTGTTGTTGTTTGTTTGGGTTTTTAAATTTGGTTGGGATTTTTTTGTTTGTTTCCTTTGTTTCAAGTTGTCTTCCAAAGTGTTTCAAGAAATTGAAACAAATTGAGAGAGGGGAAATCAAATTTTCATTAGGCCATTCTGAAATACTCAGGTACAGAGTAGTTCTCTTGTTTTCAAAGAATGTCACTAATCTGTGAGGAAATTGTATTCCTTTCTTTCTTTCCCCCGTGTTTCAGGTGGAATTTAATTAAGGAAATTTTTATTTGTCTACCAGCATCATGTATGGCATCAGCTTTGGTCTGGGAATAGTTCTGGAAGTTGACTGTAGCCACTTAAATCCAGGGATTTGGAATGTTTTATGGGCACTTGAGAACTTTGTATTTTTTCACTGTTGATTTATGTTACTGTAAAATAGAGTTGATGGTAAGGTCAGCTGGAAATACAAACCAAAATACTGTCCAGGATCATTTTCTTGGTCCTGTGCAGCCTCCTGAGCTTAGTAAGGGAGTTCTTGTGGGGCGTTAACACTCGCCAGGTTGTTGTTGTTGTTGTTGGTGTTAACTCTCTTAGGTTGTAGTCATCACCACAGGGTCCCTGTGAGGGGGCTGTTCCTTTCTTGGCATCAAAGAATTGACCAGCAGCAGAGTAAGGCTTACTGTGGAGGGAAGAGAAGGAAGAGAGATGAGGAGAGGATGGCAGGCAGGACAAGAGACAGATATTGCAACAGACACCTGAGTGCGCAAGCGAGAGAGCTTGGAGAGGTGGGACAGGAACACGCAGCTCATTAAAATGGGTGAAGCAAACATAAAGGGGTGACATAGAGATGTTTCCTAACTAAATGGTGGGATTGAGAAATGGCCAGCTGTAGCTGAATCTATAAAATGTGGATGATTCTTTTTCTTCAGTAGAACTAATGTAACTATTTTCGGGCAAGATTTTAATAGCTGTGGGAAGGAGTCTGTGTCAGCTTTGTATCAGCACTGGGTTTGGGTTACAGCAAAGGGCTCAAGTTCTTATTTCCTTCTTTTGCAGTAGATTGCAAAGAATCATAGAATATCCTGTGTCACAAGGGACACAGGGAGATAATTGGGTCCAACTCCTGGCCCTGCATAGGGACCATTCCACAAACCATACCATTTTTGAGGTATATTCACTACTACTTTCTTGAAGCTGAGTGGGGTGACCTGAGTGCATGATGCCATTTTTTTGCAGATCTTTGCACTTTAAATTCTTTATCTGATCATGTGTTATCATGTAATACTATGTTTGAAGTCATTCTCTTGTTGCAGCTCCTCAGCCAGCTTTTGCCAAGCCAACCATCTGGTGAGGATATAAAAAAAATTACTGTTGTTGGAGTCCTTCGTCTTCTGATTTATTAAAGAGGGTTTGTTTCATTTAGGTGTGCTGAGATGCTGACTAAATGCCAAGAATATTTCTGGGCCTTGATAAAGCCCATGCAGAATGTATTTTTTCTCATTAACAGAATTCATATGCTTTGTGAATGAGACAGTACTCAATTAAAAAAACTACTCGGAGATATTTGTTTCATTGACTGAGATGAAAGGTAAAATGAAATTTTTCTAGATTACAGAAGCTGACAAAATATCATGTTCAATCTCAGCTGTTCTTTTTAGAGATCACTTACTGGCATTACTTGTTGCACATTTTTAAAACTTTTATTCTTTTGCTCTTGATCACTCATTTTTCATGTCACATTGCTTTGTAAAATGGTGTTTCTGGTACAGAATTTTTGTATACAATAGATATCTAGGAGGGGAAGAGTCCTGCTAGGGATTCCTGGTTAGACAATCATTAGGGTTGGAAAAGACCTCCAAGATCCAGTCTTTGACTGAACACTGCCATGCCGCTGAACTTTATCATCAGATGTTGGAGTCTGTACTCAGTGCTTGTCTTTGTATGACTTTGTGTTGCAATCAGAAACAGATCCAGTGTTCTCTCTGTACTTCAGGTTTTTTTGCCTGTAAAGCAATGCTCCTATTAGAAGTTCTTATAAAAGTTGGCAAAAAAATATTTAATTTGCCAATATGTTTTTATAGTTGTCGTTAAAAAGATTTCAGAGTGCCTTACAAACACTTGTAGTTTATTTTCTATATAATATCAAGAATGTTCCAGCATTCCTGGAAATGGCTTGATCTTGCAGAGCAATTTAGTTGCTGCTGAAGCTTCTTACCATCACTTAAAGGTGATTTGTATTTGAGGGGAGGAATATTTTGCATATTGTCTATGTTAACTGCCAGCATTCCAGATGCATCCGAGAGAATGAAGCTGTTAATATTCCATCTGATTTTTTTTCAGTAGAGCTGCAGGCTAG